AACCCATTGAGTTCTGCTCCAAACGAGCCCCAATTCCTCGGACGTTCCGTGTCAAACGGACGCTCTGGATCCCTAGAAAAAAAAACAATTTGCTAGCATCTTCCACCACTAACCAGCCTCCCAAAAAGCTTCCACCAACAGCCTGCCAAAAGCTTTCCAGCCTCCCAAAAGCATCTGAAACCACCCCTTCGCCACGGCTTTAACCCATTGAGTTCTGCTCCAAACGATTGAGTTCTGGCGGATCTATCATTATTCCCTGGCGCGCTCCCCCTTGCGTCGGCCGGGGTCGGCGGATTCTGGTCTTAGGGACCAAACTTACAAAATGGTTGCATGAAGAAGGAGGAGGAGCTGCAGTTCTGGCTCTTGGGTAATGCGGGTTGGAATGCGGCATGACAACTAGAATCAATGAAAGATGTTGCTTCTGTCATCTCCTTTCTGACCATCTATCCATAAAATCAGTGCTCAGTGTATGTTGATCAAGAAAACAGAAGGTTGGCCATCGTCAGCTCAGTTGCAATTTGGATTTTTGTCCTTACCTGGACACTTTAATATAAAGGAGTGAACGGAAACAGTTTCCTCCCTTGTCGCAGGGTTTCCTCTTGTGTGGTTCTCAGGATTGGAAAATGCCCCCAGCCCAGCCCTGAGTAGAAACGAAGAATTAGTGAAATACTGCCTTGGAGTCTTTTGTGAGAACTCAGTTGAACCTCCAGACTCCAGATAAACCAAACAATGAAAATCCCATTGGTTGCGGGGTCTACACATTCTAAAACACCTCCAACAAGCCGAGTCCCATCCACGATACCTCCCGGGGACACGGTCCCGCGGCGCAGGTGAACGACGGACCCGTTGCGAAGTGGAACAGCTCTGCATCCTCTCCAATTTCCGTGGGCGCCTCTTGGGCTGAAGATAGGTCGTCCACGAAGCTGGACGTGTTTAAGATTTGGAGGATCATGAACAATCATGAAGGATCCATTGGACCGTATTCTTGTTGATTCTTGTTGTATTCCCCGCTCTTTTTGGACCGCGCATTACCGCGCATTCTGATGGAAGTTGCAATCCAACACCACTCATTGGGGGGGTGGTTGCTGGCTGGAGTCTTTAGGGATAGTTGGGGGCACTTTGTGGAAGAATGTGCAGCAGCTCTAGGGATGGTGATGGATCCTTTCTTGGAGTCTTGGTGGTTGCAGTATCCATCCCTCACAGCTTTCTGAGATTTTGGGGCCCTCGTTGGCTTTAGGGGAAGACCCTTCAAGAAGTTACATATATAGATGAAGCTTCACCTGACACAATGGGGCTGTCTCTGTGTTCTGTTCTGTTTGCAGAGTGATTTGCTATATTTATAATCTCCGTTGCTTCCGGCTATCTAAAATGAGTGTGGTCGACCACGGAAACCCCATTTCATTTGACGCATTTAGTCTAAGGGTTATCTGAAATGGGTATCAGACAACATTGTGGGAAAGTGGTGCAGACTTTTTTCACTTTTCAGATTCAACGACTTGTGCAGGCGTTTGGTATGTGAAAGTCATTGAACCAATGTCTGGATCAAATGAGGGGGGTGAACTTCTATAGTCCGGGTGAACTTCAACGCTGTGTGCGTGAAAGACAACGAGTCTCTGGGTCCGAAGAGTCGGTAAGTGTGCATACCTGATCATACCTTGGTGTGTGTGGTGTGCTACAAATCTTCAGAGTTCAAAGAAGTGCGAGAAAGGACCCCCCAACTTCCGGAGCTTTTGTGCTCTGGGGGGTTTCCAGGCAGTAGTCTTCGTGAATCTTCGTGAAGAGAATGTCTTCATTACCTTACCAGTACAGTCAATCTCAGAGAAACCCCGCCATTGGAGAATGAACCACGGGCGAATGGATTGATTTCTTTGAAGGGCCCTCCCACTCGCTACCCCAAACTCTACTATGTAGCAGGTAGTTTGGTACATGAACTCCATTGTTCAAGACCCTATTGAGAAAGCGGAACCGTACGACACTGTCTTTGAGATGTCACACCAGCCCGTCCCAGGACCGTGTGGTAGACCTCGGCAGCGGAGGTGTGACCGAACCCGTCCCCTTGGGGCACCCCGAAAGCCTCGTTCCGCTGTGCCGAAGCTGGTGCACCCCCCCTTGACCAGGGAGGGATCCGAAG